CATACTTCCTCAAGTCCTCGCCACTGCAACACGAGCACCACAACAACTTCCGCGACGCCTTGGACCCGGATGACGTGAGGAGCCTGTACGAAAAGTACCCCTACTGGGGCGACCGACTCTATGATCTCTGGAAAGAAGCCGACGACCCAACTCCCGTGACGAGCGTCGAGCGCTGGACCGAGGCCAGGAGAAACCCCCGTTTCACATATTGGTGCACCGTTGTGTCTGTCAGCCTGGCTATTACCTTTGGCATGGTAGCCACGACCCTCGGCGCAGTTCAGGTTTGGATATCCTATTGCGCCTGGGTTGCGGACCCCACGAGACCGCTTTGTGGCACTTGATTGGTGTAGGCTATGGGATACATGGAGTTTGGCTTATTGCATTAATACCATTTTGGATATCTTGGGTTGGAAACAACATCGATAACTGGAGCTTACTGATTTTCATTGTCTGGAGCGTAAATATGAAGCCCCTTCTTTTGAACATACAAGTGCCAAATCTCCCAAGCCACATCAACTTCCTCCTCGCGATTTCTCCCAAAATACAGAACTTGAAACAAATACGCGATTCAGTTCGGAATACAGCGGCTAACATCCATCTCCAAGGGCGCATGCAGTCAAACACTTTCCCACCTTTCCCTCCAGTCCTCCCACTGGTCCGGAAGCGGCGACAAGGAACAGGAACATCCCGAGGGCTGTTGGGCCTAGAGATCAAAAACCAACGTGGTGTGTTGCTTGAAAAGCACATGCTAGAAACCGGCAAAATGGCATGCCGGATTGCAACATATCCTTCCACGGGAGTAGCATCAAGTTGAGCATTCTGAGCCCCACTGCCAGTATCTATTTGACAATGGTTACCTATCTACACGCAACGGTGCAGCTTTCCAGGCACTGGTAACCTGTGCCTATATACCAGGTATTTTATGGAGAAACAACTGAGTTGATCTTCTACCACATCAACCAGCGCAATTTATCAACACTAGTTCGAATGGAAGAGAACGCGCACATGCAGTCACATGCGACAACACTGTACTAAATCAACATTAACACTCGCGCTGAGGTGGGAACAATCGTTGCGTGTAATTAGGTAGCTAATAACCTTCACTAACATCACACCGTTGATCCTTCAAAACATGCACAACAGGCATTCATCAATGAGATTGGCATGATTCCAACACCACACAGTGCATTTTCTCGCTGATAACATAAGAGTTATATATTTACCGTCTCATACTTCCATTTGACGTTGGCGTTTTTGAACTAAAGGCTGTGATTAGTATCGAAAGAATGCCCGATGTAGGTGTAAGGGGTAAGGAGTTGAACTACAGTAGTACCTAGGCGACTTACACGACCTGGCAAGTGATAGTAACGTTGCAAGCCACAACTCTACCTAGTCTAAACCTTGAGAATGTAACCAAGAATGATGGTGGGTGAGAATGCTCATCAAAGTCGTATTGTGAACAAAACCGTGGTGGGGTAATCCCTCCAAGGACGTGCACCAGTGGTTCCCAATGTCTTGCCCTGTCTGGTCCGAATGTCGATTCTGGTCGTTATCTTTTGCAAGTGCATATGCGGCTCGGCACATGGTCATGCACAGACCCATGCTAATAGCGGCTCGTAGATTATTTGTGGGAGCCATTCCGGGGTTTCCCAAGACCTTTCCATGTATTTCGCGAGGGACAGTGCGGCTCTGTGTTGAGATGGTGGTGGGGTCGAATCTCTAATATCCTTCGCGCTCAGTGCCAGGACACATCGACGCGCGTGCGCATACCCTTAGGTTCTACTCTATGAACCATCCAGGACACGGATATTCCCCGCATAGAAAGGGACGAAGAAGCTCGACCAAGAACGAGAAACTCATGTTTCCTCAGGTAACTTAACACATTTCCCGGGGTCAGCGAGATGTTCGGCGTGGCACTTTGACCCCTGACTTCGAGGTCAGCTCCGGCAGGTACGTGCAGCAAACACCAGAGGTGTGGACGGCACACACCCGATACTCTATTCTCACCTTCCCGATTTGGCCAGCTCCCCAGACTTTTCCACCCAACCCTCGGACATCACAACCCGTTTTCGCAGGAACCCGTGGTCGTACCTGATGATCCTAATCGCAGGGCTGTCTTGAAAATCGTAGACCTGATCCCGGCAGTCTGACATGGTCCCGCCAATGACTGGGCTTGATCTGGATTGGGAGTTGTGAGACCCGCTGGAAATACTAATTGCTCATGCTTGTCGGCGTTACATTACCAACGATCATGACGGCCCGAACTACTACACCCCTTTTTTCTGGGCGGCTGCCTACGCCAAGCTCGTCAGGAGGAAAATCCGATAGTATTCGCGGTAGCAACCCCCACCCGTGAATAACTGGTACACATTGCATGTGAGGTTTGGCCAAGCATTCGGTATTGGTCAGTTGTGAGATTAGCGAGATAATGCGATGAGCCCAGTGCCGCCCACGATCCCACGATCCTAGTATCCTAGGTTGGGTTCAAGTGGTTTTCACATCCAAACGCGTCGGGACGAGTCCACATCCGCACCCCAGGCGGAGACAACCATCCACCGACAACGAGAACCACAAGCAGACAGCCCAGATCGGAATGCCAATCTTAAATACCGAGCATTCACCAATCCAACGTTTGATATTTAGTGAATAGAGACAATGGCAACGTTGCTGCAAATGTGCAGTCCCCCCTACATGGCCCTCAGAGGGCAATAACGTCTGTCTGATGACAATGTCAGTCAATGTAGAGCACGCGTTCCTGACGGGCCCGGTCAATAGTCGAGACCATGTCTCATCTGAACAATAGGGCCTGGTGGGCAACTGTATCCACACCCGAGGGAGATGAGCAAGTGCCTGCCTCGGACGTATATCACCCCACGGCGCGCTCGCCCTTCCTTCTATCTCAGATTTCCAAAACTTTACAACGATTGAAGAGCACCACCACCATCCAAAGCCACGACCACGGCAAGCCTCAGCTGCACCACAATCGTCTCGTTTCCAAGCCCACGCCTTCAAGATGATGATCGTCTCGCCTATGAAAACAGCGCTGGCCGCTGTTTTGTGCTTCGGCACTCTCCTCGTCGCCGCCACGCCCGTTCAGGCCTGCCCTGCTGCCCCGGTGGTCGCTAGAAGCGCCGCCGGCTACAAGAACGTGGTGTATTTCACCAACTGGTATGGATGCCATCCGGCCATTTCTTGTGAAACGGCTCCGAGTAGTACCTCTTTCTAACAGCATAAAACCCCAGGGGCATCTATCAGCGCGACTACCAGCCCGCGCAGCTCCCGGCCTCCAAGATCACTCACGTGCTGTTTGCCTTTGCCAACCTCGACAGCACCGGTCGCGTCTTCTCGTCGGATAGCTACGCCGACCTGGAGAAGCACTACCCCGCGGATTGTAAGAACCCCCGTTATCCATCCTATCCAATTTCGGTGAAACTTTTCCCATCCAAATCAAAACAAGAACTGAAACAGACACTAACGCCGCTCCCCTCCCTCCCAGCCTGGAACGACGTCGGCACTAACGCCTACGGCATCGTGAAGCAGCTCTACCTTCTCAAGAAAGCGAACCGCAACCTCAAAGTCCTCCTCAGCATCGGCGGCTGGTCCTTCTCGTCCAACTTCCCCGCCGTCGCCAGCAGCGCCACAAGCCGCGCGCTCTTTGCCTCCACTGCCGTCGGCCTAATGAAGGACTACGGCTTTGACGGCATCGACGTAGACTGGGAATACCCCAGTACCGCCGCGAACGCAACCAACTTTGTGCTCCTCCTCCAAACCATCCGCTCTGCCCTGGACGCCTACGCGGCCCAGTCTGCGCAGGGATACCACTTCCAGCTGACCGTCGCCAGCCCGGCGGGGCCGGATAACTACAACAAGCTTGCGCTCGGACAGATGGCGGGCGTGCTTGATTTCTTCAACCTCATGGCGTACGACTACGCGGGTTCCTGGGACGCAAAGACAGGTCACCAGGCAAATCTGTATCCCAACCCCAACAACCTCACCACGACGCCCTTCTCCACCGACCGCGCAGTGAAGGATTACATCGCCGCCGGCGTGCCAGCAAGCAAGATTGTTCTCGGCATGCCCATCTACGGCCGCGCCTTCGAGCAGACAGCGGGTTTGGGAGCAACATACTCTGGCATCGGCGGCGGGTCATGGGAGAATGGGATTTGGGACTACAAGGCGCTGCCGCGGGCCGGCGCCACGGTGGTGTACGACTCTGTTGCGGGCGCGACGTATAGCTATGACCCGGTCGCCAAGGAGTTGATTACGTATGATACTGCCGACATGGTGGCTAAGAAGGTCGTGTACATCAAGAGCATGGGTCTTGGCGGGAGTATGTTCTGGGAGGCGTCGGCGGATCGCACGGATAGTAGTAGTTTGATCGCTACGAGCTATGCGGGTTTGGGTGCGCTGGAGCAGAGTACCAACCAGCTGAACTATCCCGCTAGTCAGTATGCGAATATCGTGGCGGGGATGGTGTAGAAGGGAGGACTTCCGCTGGGTTTTTTTCTTTTTGCGGAGGGGATGGGCCGGGTGGGATGGGGGACTGGACGGGGTTTTTCTTTTGCATCTAGGGGTCTAGATCTTCTCTCAGTGGCCTCGTTTTTCGGGCTGGTATGGGTTTAGAGGGCTGGGTAAATACATTTCTCTTTGATGAGAGGGCATATTTCTCGTGCTTTAAATGTGGTCGTGAATATGTGTGATGGTGGTTATCGTCATGCGTCTATCTAGGTATCTATCTATGCCTGCAGCTCCGACATGATCGATCTATGGATAATTACCAGGTAGCATGAACAAGCGTGCGTATCCCGTAATTACACGACATGATCAATCACCACCTGTGCATCCATCTCTCAACCAAACAACATGAACTGAGATCAGAACAGAACAGACGTGAGGACAGGCATTTGGAATTGCCGACAACAAAAAAAATATATAACGGCTTTGTCGGACGCCAAAAGAAAATCCTGGTCAACCCCTGAAAGGGAGCTGATCAGACTTTTTGCCCAATAACAGGATTGAACTGTTGACCTTCGCATGACTTGATAAATGCTCCCGGATGGGAACGATTATTAGTACGACGCTCTAACCAGCTGAGCTAATCGGGCTGGGGTTGTTGGTTGATGGAGTCTTGGCTTAGTGGGTTGCATTAACAGGGGGCAGGGGAGGGAGGCGGTTAATTACTACCTAATTAGATCGCGAAGATCGTGAGAATAGATACACGTATCCACCCTCACCACATCATCATCCAGGGGCAACCCTTGTCATGTCATCCGGTTAAGCACCATCTTCTTGACATTGCAATAGCCAGGACCAGATTTCTGCGTGTTTCTGCTCCTCTGAGATGTCTGTTTTTAAAAGTCTTGTTAGCAGTTCTTGATCAAGTTATTTGTACATGTATTCTAGGATTGACCCACCGTATCCCATGATCTTGAGGATGTCATCAACGTGGACCATGTCAATGCAAAAGGCACCTTCGATGGCTGTCTGGGGGTTTTCCGTCTCCAAGAGCGACAAAAAGAGGAGGATGTCGTCTATCACCCCCTCGATGTCGGCTTCCGAGCCAGATAGGCTTGCCTCATCGACCACCATTGGAGATGGATTCGAGGTGCGGGACATCTTCTCGACTATGCAGGTGTAACTGAAGGATACTGGCTTGTTGTAGCAGTTATTTTATCGAGAGGGTACTGTTTTCGTCATCCCCATCTCGGCGGACGGAGGTGATATCGATACCCCTTTAATACTCTTTGGCCACATTCATCCACGTTGTGGTGTTAAAAAATGTTCATCACCAAACATATGCACCCGAATCATCACTGGCATCATCAGTCCGTGAAGTGCACGCTCCGGGTGCCTCCGGTTTCTCTGAATGAAAGCAGGCGCTTCTGAGAACTCTGCAAATATCCATTCAGAAAAATGGCCACTGAAACGAAGAAAATAGTACCGTTCGATTCTTTGAATCATAGCGACTCAAGTAAATGGCCCGTATCGAGGAAAGAGGTCTACATGCATCAACTTTGCATTGAGTCCATGCAACAAACCGGATGATGGTCCCGTCTGACGAATGACAAAAGTGGCCTTGAATTCTGGCGAATGTGATAAATGGCCTAGGAGTCTCCACAAATGTCCCCAAGCTGAGCCAATGAGAAAAATGGCCACCGTTGGCTGCAGGATCTCGCCCTGGCCTGGCACGGCTGGCAGGCATCGAACGAACATACGTGGGGCAGCACAGCCCATGCTTGACCATAAATGAGAACCTCCAACCCTCCCCAATTCAGATTGATCCTCTTCTCTTTGTGCATCCCCGCGGCTTTGCAGAAGGGTTCGAGTCGTGGGCCATCGAGTGCCCTCGGCTCGGCAACCGACGACTCAATCCAAGGCCGGGGAAGCAAGGACATCGTCGCTTCCCCGAGCCTACCTAGGCAGCTTTCATCCCCGCCATTTCAATCCCGAGCGGCGATCTCTCGACTCTCCAAGGCCACGACAACTCGCTCCACGCGGGGGAAGCTTACGAGTTTCCCCCCTCCAAGCCTCCTCACAATCGACCACATAGCAACGCGAGGTAAAGCATGATTCCACACCTCTGTGCTGTCTTGAGCTTATCGTGATACACGGCCTTCAGCTGCTTTGTGGTAGCTTGGTCTAGCAATGCTTTTTGGAAACTGACGCACGTACCCCAGATACGCAGTTGTTGGCAACCCCAAGATTCCCCTTTCAAGAACGCACGTGGGCTCTACCGCCTACCTTTCCCCCTTTTTTTTTTTTCTCATTTTGTGACCGCGGAGACGGCACAAAGTCTCCGCATTCCGCAACATTTCGATTTCTTTTTCTGATCTTGAAAATCACGACGACGCCGCGTGTGATATCACCGATTGCTGGCATTCGGTTCCAAATTTCTTTGATTCTAATTACGAGAGTTATCATCATCTTCCCGGCTCATCGGCATGGCCCGACCAACCCGACGATCTGACCCTTGGATACAGTCTCGACTATGCTGAGGCGTCACCGTTGGATTGGCTCATGCCAGACACGATACTTGAGCATCTTGGCTTTCAAACTCTACTAGACGACACCGTTTCTCAACAACTGGGGTGTCCGGTGTCTGATCATTCTCTTTCTGTACCTGATGGCGGATTTGGTGGGGGAGCGGCTTTTCCTGGAACTCTGTCGGAGTCGGCTGGCAACACGGTTTCGTTGTCGTCTGAGCCGGATCTGTCAGTAAACCATGGCAGTTCCAGAGACACAACAACCGTGACATCCCCCGACAGCACGTCAGACTCCTCCTCACGCCCAGTCTTTTGCCAAATCTGCCGTGACGAGCTCCCCGGCTTGGCGGCTCTCAGGCAAGCCCCCTTCTTTCAGCAACCCCTAATCCGCATACTTATCCCCTCTGGCTAACTCCTGTCTTTTCTCAGCCAACATATGGACGCTCAACACCCGCACGGAGTCTGCCGTCGCGTCTGCGCTACCTGTTCCGACGGCCAAGACAAGACATGCGAGCACTGCGAATCTGGAAACGCAACATTCCTCTGTGCCTGCGGCTTCAGCTCCGGTATCAAGACAAAGCTGGAAGCTCATATACGCACCGCCAACCGACGCCACGTCCGATGCCGCTGCGGCAGCGCCTTCCGAGAGGACAGATTCAAGAGCACCCACTCGTCCGGCAGCAAATGCGACGGCAACATGCCATTCATTTGCTTCCGCCCGACGCAGTCAACAAGCCACCCGTACGTGTGTGCAGACAGACAGGCGTTTCTTGAGCACTTCGACAACCAGTGCGAGCGCAAATCAAGGGGGAGGCCCAGAAAGAGAAAGACACCGACACATGAGGACGGACAAGAAGTTGTTCATGGGAAAACCAAGAGGCAATTCGCTCGGCAGTAACTACTGGCACATATGATGGTGCGGGCCATCCGACGTTTGACATCGCTGAGCCACGCTTCTGGAGCCATCCGTGCTGGTAGTTGCCCGAGCCCATAACATCTAAACCATAAATTGGTAAGTACAACGCGGTCTCATCCTGCGTGCCCAGACCCCGAGATGCTGGCAATACTAACGATTGCAGAACACAAGACCAGAGCCTAGGAGGAGAACCCGGTTTGCAGCCGGTGCTGAACGCGGCGTGCGATTGCGGCCACCATTGAAAATCCAGGTTGACAATAGATCAAGTCATGTTGAGAATTCAGGTTGACAACATGTGAAACAACATGACTTGACCTATTCCCAACCTGGATTTTCAATGGTGCCCGCAATCGCTGTTTTAACACCGACCGCAAACTGGTTTTTTTTCTTCCTGGGAAGTGATGGCTCCAGAAGCGTGGTAGTGTGTCAGCGATGTCAACGAAAGGGAATGCTAATAGGTGAGCCAGGAAGGATGAGAATATGGAGGACTGGAAAAGACTACTCCCGCAGGCCCTTGACCGGTCCGGACTTTCTCTCTTACCTATCCCCCGCTGGCTAGATTCAGCGAGCGCGAGGCAAGGGAGGAAACTCGGATCGGTTGAGGGCCTGCGGTAGGCACTCATTATCGTTGGCTCCCACTGGAACCGACTTAATCTAAGGGCTCGCTTCAAGCACAGCTCAAATCTCGCAGCGGAAAAAGCTCTGAGGCCGTGGGTAGGGGTGCAGGCCAGAGAAGTGTTGTGATAAGGCGACAGGTTGGAACTGGGGCAGTTTGGCCTGTCCCTTGGCAAACTGCCTCAGCTTTTTCCGTTGCGAGAGCGGGCCTGGGCCTGAAGCGAGCCCTTAGATTAAGTCGGTTTCAGTGAGAGCCTACGGTATGTTCGTCGGGCAAATACCCAAGTTACCTTCTTTTGTACCTACCTATCTGATACTAAATTCTGCCTTTGTTGTCCTGTGTTTGTGACTCGCTGTGAGGTGGCACCTGATTACCACCTAGGCACTTTATGTTTCTTGAGCCACTGCAAGGCAGCCCAACCTATTTTGTCCCCTCAACAACCCCATGTGTTCTGTCAGTGTTGAATGGGTTATATCAATGCCCAATTAGCCCCGTCAAACGCAACTCTATCATTTTTGCAAGTTCAACAGTCAGAAGTAGATGATGGTACATATTCCTGTAGCAAACTCATTCCAGAAATTCCATGTCTGTTACTCCATACCATCCAGTCGCTAAACCCATTCCTAACCATTCCGCCCATGTATCCAGGTATCTAGCAATCCAAAATTGTATCCGTGCCCATAGAAGTAGCCCCTATAAACCAGCCGGTGGTAACCAGTTACCGATATCCCAGCGCCATAATACTCCAATCCCAAGCCATAACCCATCCTACCAGCGTACATACAAAGGGAATTACCCATATAAAACCGCCAACCCAAGCCGCCAAGAAGATAAGACAGTGACATGAATTTAAACACTTCTCCCACCCACGCTCCCACTGCTCCCACCTTCTCTCCCCTCCTCCTCCCCTATATCCAGAAAATCCCAACTATCCCTCCTCGGCGCCGCAGCAGCACTCTCTTTATGCACAAGCGCAATCCCCAACCCCAGCCCCCTCTCCCCCGACAGCGTCCCATTAGCAGCCTCAGAATCCCGCCACGGACTCGTCCCAACTGTCTTAGAGGCCCTCGTCCCAGCACCAGCCCTTAGATCCGTAATCTCAACAACCCCCTTGCCAAAATCCGCGACCGACTCCCTAAGCACCTTCCAACTTGTAACAAAGAAAATAATCCCATTCCATACGCCTTGTAGGGGGAGCACGGCGGCCGTGGCCACGTTGTATGGGTAAGGTGAGTCAGGGTAGATGAGGCCGCGGATGCGGTTGATGCTGCTCGGGATCCATGTCACGAGCACCGAGAGGGCGAAGAGCACGGCGGTGCGCAGGTACGCGCGTTTTACCGGGTCTTCGATTAGGTATCGGCCGAAGAGGCGGCGGATGCGGTTTGAGGAGCCTGCGCGGCCGCCGGGTTGTTGGGAGGAGGCGCGGTTGAGGGAGGGGGATTTGGTGCAGCTGGGGCTCTTGCATGTTGAGGATCGATGGGCGGTTACATGTGTCGTGAGTGGGAGGAGGCGTTTTTTGGAGTAGTCGCCGCCGGTTAGGGAGGGGGAGTATATTTTGTCGGGCCGGGGGAGGGGGGACGGGCTTCGGCA